AGTAAGTATTTTTCTAAGAAATTTATGGAGCAAACTACTATTGATGATGATGGATACCTTACTTATAGGAGGAGAGACGATGGCAGGACAATAGAAGTGAAAGGCATTCCTCTTGACAATCAGTTTGTTGTGCTGTATAATCCTACTTTGTTATCTCAATTCCAAGCTCATATTAATGTTGAGAAGTGTAACTAGTCATTTGTAATCAAATACTTATTCAAGTATATTACTAAGGGTAGGGACAGGGTTGTTGCTGCTATATATAAGAACACTGAGGATGGATCTTCTGTACGTACTATTGATGAAATGCAACAATATTACAACTTCAGGTATATCTCAGCTTGTGAAGCATTTTGGCGCATATTTGCATTTGATATTCATCATAGGTATCCTCCTATTGAGAGGTTGAGCTTCTACTTACCTAATTAGTAATATGTTATTTATTCTAATGTAATAATGTTCCTGAATTGCTCGACAAACCACGTGTATGGGAGCATGTGAGTCGATGTTTCTTGCTTAGATGAAGATGAACTATGACAATGATTTGGACAAAAAACTAACTTATTCAGAGTTACCTCAATACTTTGTCTGCCAAAGGAGCAAACGGGCATGGAAACTTAGAGAGAAGGGCTTTGTAATTGGTAGAATTACTTATGTCCCTCCTTCATATGGTGAACTTTACTACCTACAGATTCTTTTAACCAAGGTTAAAGATTCGTCATCTTTTGAAGCAATTAGAAAAATTGACGGTATTATTTACCCAACTTTTAGAGATGCATGCTTTGCACTTGGATTGCTTGATGATGATACTGAATACATAAATGCCATCAAGGAGACATCAGTATGTGCATCTGGAAGATTGCTACGAAAGATGTTTGTGAGCATGCTTTTTTGTTCATCTTTAAGTTGGCCTGACTTTGTTTGGAAGCAAACTTCAAAAATGTTATCAGATGATCTACTATATATACCAAATAGAGATCCTCTATTATCGAGTAAGATTAAGATTTATTTTTTTCTTTTTCATGTAAGTTTTCAATTCATATATTAACTTCTTTTTTCCAAGAATACATATATATCTAATGATAAGAAGGAAGACATGGCTTTAAAGGAGATTGATTCATTATTGCAAGAAAATGGGAAGAGTCTTCATGATTTTTCCATGCTACCAACACCACCATCGAGCATATCTCTTGATACGAGGAATCACCTGATACTCCAAGAGCGTAGTTATGATCAAGAATCATTGCTGGAAGAATCTTATGCATTGACAAACTCATTGAATTAAGAACAAAAACATATCTTTGACACAGTCATATTTTTATTGGGTTTTGTTTCTGGATCATTCTTTTTTGTGTATGGATATGGAGGTAGAGGGAAGACATTACTATAGAATGCTATAACATCTACACTTCGAGCCAAAGGTGATATTGTCATTGCTATTGCATCCAGTGGAATTGTTGCTACATTATTACCTTTTGGTAGGACAACCCATTCTAGGTTTGCTATTCCTATCCAAATAAATGAAGATTCCATTTGTAATATCACTCAAAATTCTACCTTAGCTAATTTGATCATCCATACTAAGCTAATTATATGGGATGAAGTTCCCATGATTCGGTGTTTTGGCATTGAAGCCTTTAATTGTACACTAAGGGATCTTATGCATGCTAATTTCCCTTTCGGTGGCAAGTGCATTTTGATAGGTGGTGACTTTCATCAGATACTTCTTGTCATACCAAAAAGGACTTGAGCTGGTATTGTCAATGCGTGTATTACTTTATCATATCTTTGGATTATCAAACCATCTTTTAGTTAACCAAAAACATGTGCTTATCATCTGTTTCTTCTATTAAGGAACAGAAATATTTAGAGAAACTCTCTAAGTGGCTTTTAGATGTAGGTGATGGTAATCTTGGTATGCCTTATGATGGCACAGTTGAAATTGAAATCCCTTAAGTTGTTGATAACTAATTATGATGATCCTCTAAATGCTATTGTTTCAGCAACTTACCCTAATCTTTTACAAAATTTTTCAAATTCTAAATACTTCAATGATAGGGCTATACTTGCACCAACAATTGAGATTGTTGATGAGGTTAATGAATTTATGTGTTCTTTGTTGCCTGGAGAAGAGGTTGAGTATCTAAGTTGTGATTCTTTTTGCAAGTAATCTAATGATAATGATTGCTTTGAAGATTTGTACACTACTGATTTCCTGAATACCATTAATAGCTCTGGTATGCCAATGCATAAGTTATGTTTGAAAGTAGGTTTACCATTCATGTTACTTAGGAACATTGACCAAGCTTCAGGATTACGCAATGGTACAAGGTTGCATGTTACACATCTTGGCAAGTCCGTTATTGAAGTGATAATTGTGAATGGATCTAAACCCAACCAAAAAGTGCTTATCCACTGTATGGACATGAATCCTTCTGAAAGTCGGTTGCCATTTCGAATGAGGAGGAGACAATTCCCAATCATATTATCATTTACAATGATGATAAATAAAAGTCAGGGACAATCTTTATGATATGTGGGTTTGTATTTGCCAAAGCCAGTATTCTCGCATGGTCAGTTATATGTTGCAATGTCAAGAGTGAGAAGCATGAGAGGTTTGAAAATACTAATACAAAATGATGGGTACAATGTGAGCAACGTAACTACCAACATTGTCTATAGGGAGATTTTTCAAAATGTTGATGCTTCTTTTTGTTATTCTTCTTTAATTTGTTGTACGCATCTTCGTTTCATTATTATCATGCAAGGTTCTATAAGTTTGCATAAGAAGTGCACTTTTTTTGGCCATATATGTTGATGAATTTCTTCGAATGTGTGTTTACTTAGTTGTATGATTTCCTACATTCGTGATTGAACAGTATCGTAGTTTGTATGATTTTCTACATTCGTGATTTAATAGCATTGCTCCTATACGTCGTGCGGGGTTCCATGCTAGTTTTATCGAATAGTAATTCTAGCTAATACACATAATTAATGAGGATATTCTAGGAAATTCAACTTAATTTGTTATAAATAATTTAACAAATTTTTTTTAATCTATTTAAATTACTCAAGTAGTTGTTATATTAAAAACTAAAGGCAGTATATTAAACTTGTAAAACGTTCATATATTTTGGGTCTTTCACGTGTTTGCATGGTTGCTTGGAAGTTGCAACATATGTATGCTTGGATATTAGAACCATGCTACAAAACTTCAAACTTTATTTTATAACTAATGCGTGGGAGATGTTTTTTAAAAAAAAATATAGATAAAAAAGATTAGAAAAATCGTATACTTAAATATGTTTATTTATAAACTAATTATTATTTTTATCATATTGTTGTTGTTGTTTCCTTAAAAATAAGTTTTATTAACGTTTATTTTCTATTACATAACAAGGATGTTACAAAATCATCACTTTAACAAAATAAATGTGGAATGAAATCAATAACTTTTTAATGAACTAAGTGTTTGTTTTTATAAGGATTAACTCTATCCTTACAAAATTAATATTTGTTTTAAGAAAAAGCTTGTTATGAGAAGTAATTGTTATATATAATTGTTCACTTTGCTTTATGATCTTGTTCGACTAAGAAACTAAGCTTCATGACCTAACTAGAAAAAAGAGGTTTCCAAATAGAAGTAGCGTAAGTGCTATATATGTAGAATTAATATTCACATTAAATTTTTGTGCTTTTCCCCCTTTTCTCCCCTGTTATTTTTGTTAATATTTTTTTAGTTTGAAAAAAATAAGGGGGCTCCTTTTATATGAAACCTCAAGAAGTTGCTCTCTCACCCTAGATACCTTCAGCTATTAATATCAAATAGAAATAAGACAATAAATGTAGGACACCATAAGATGATCGCATGAGAAGCTAATTTAACTCAACTTTAACATTTTCCCCATATTTGAAGATTTATAATCCGACACTGACCGTGATGTTTTTATTTATTATATATATAATAAGAGTAAAAAAGGATAACTATTCTAATTTTTTTTGGGGAGAAAAAATTTTCATTTACAATAAAGGAAATATGAATAAGTTAGAAACGTCAAAAGATGTTCATAATGTTAACAACCCAATACTATCTCATCTCTTCTTTTTGCGGATGATCTCATCTTTTTTGGAAAGGCTATTGAGATGAAATGGAGGAAATAAAATATGGTCAATATCCATACAAAAATTATTAATGACCTAAAAGAGTAGTCATACCATTACCTCTTTTTAAAAAAATTCTCTCACAAAAAAAAATCATGTTGGCAGCCACCTCGCTAGCAACCGGCACTAGAGCTCTGGTGCCAATAAGGGGATGTTGGTGGTGGCCAACTATCAGTAGGCTTCTGGTGGGGGGTTGAATTTTTTTCTAATAGTTTTATTAAAGGATAGTTTTGTTATTTTACCTTAATTTCAAAATGACAATTTAGATTTTTCTCTCATTTTAACATTATAAAGAGTCAGCTTCCCATATTAAAATGTCATATATTCAAACAATCACACTTCTTTTTCTATCATTTTCTTTAGTTACAAAATCATTTTCCCACAAAATTCTTTTATATCAATTTTTTCAAAATTTATTCCCAAAAACTAACCAACTAATGATAAGATTTGTATCACAATTTGTGGCAACAACTTTTAATATTACTTTTTGTTTTCAAAATTCCATATTTTCTAGGATAAATTATGTTTGTCATTTTCTGTATCGTTTCAATTTTATACATTAGCAAGAAATAAGTTTGGTAAAATAAAACATTGAAAAAAAATAAAATAAACAGATACATAACACAAAACCATGAAAGTAATATAGATTAACACTAAATATCATACACAACAAGCACCAATAACTGGTGCATCCCGGATCTCATAGGGACTATGGAAACAATCACAAAGCTCACAAGATAATAACATGTATGTATAACTAGCAAGTCCATGAACGGTATATACAAACCGTCATTATTCTCATCATAAACATATCATACAAAGCATACATAAAATACTGATCAGTTCATTGGAGGCTTATGGGGAGGCTTATGAGGTAATTCAGGCTTGTTTCTAGGAATCGAACGCATTCCACGCTTTGGTTTGGGTTCAGGAAAAGGTTTATTTTTAGGAAATGGCTTTTCTGATAAACGGTGTCCTTGATGATCATGGTCATGAGGAGGATTGTTTTTGGGAGATGGCTTCTCACCCATTGGTTTGGGTTCAGGGAATGGCTTCTGCTCTGATAAACGGTGTCCAGGATGATCATGGTCATAAGGAGGATTGGTTTTTGGAGGTGGCTTCTCACCTTTTGGTTTGGGTTCAGGAAATGGCTTTTGCTCTGATAAACGGTGTTCAGGATGATCATGGTCATGAGGAGGATTGGTTTTTGGAGGTGGCTTCTCACCATTTGGTTTGGGTTTAGGGAATGGCTTCTCTTCTGATAAACGATGTCCAGGATGATTGTGGTCATGAGGAGGATTGGTTTTTGGAGGTGGTTTCTCACCTTTTGGTTTTGGTTGAGGGAATGGCTTCTCCTCTGATAAACGGTGTCCAGGATGATTGTGGTCATAAGGAGGATTGGTTTTTGGAGGTGGCTTCTCGCCCTTTGGTTTGGGTTCAGGGAAAGGCTTATTTCCAGGTAATGGCTTCTCCTCAGATAAACGATGTCCTGGAAAAGCCTTTCTTTGTGGAGGTTTCTCAATAGGCTTTGGTGTTTTGTGATCAGGAAAAGGCTCATGATTGAAATCTGCTCTCATTGGACTGATCAGAAAGACCAGTCCTAGGAAGAACACAAGTAGACTAGTACTAGAAGCCATATGTTTTTTGCAGATTGCTCTCTCGGTTGGGATGGTGCAAGAACAAGGAAATGCATATGGCCTTTTATAGCAGAAGATCAAAGGCTTGCTACGTCACTAATCATGTCACTGCACGCTTGCTTGTCAATGGTTTCATACTCCAGGAGTGCTTATGATTCTATGAAGTTGAAAAGTTTGAAATATTGTGCGTGTACATTTGTGTCCTTTTGTGATCCAAGTGCTCAATTCTAGTTGAATTTCGTGACTTAAATTAGTTGATGGTTTTAGTCTTCTGGGCCCACCAAATTCCACATGCTCGACCGCCTCTTGTTCACTGAAATCTAGCGTCAATTTCTTGCCTTTCTTAACTATGGGAGTCTTTCTTCCAAATAGAAGAAAATGAATTCGAGAAGGTCCTAACCGGTTCAGTTTTTAATTGAGTGCAAAAAGACTCAAATTTCAACTTCCTCCTCATCATGTGAACGATGAAGAAATCAACGGTTTTACATGAAAATTTTAAGAGAAAATTGCACTATGGTCCCACACAAGAGAAATAAATACAAAAAGTCCATTCAAATCATTAAATTAACTTGAATCCTAAGGTATCTCATTGTAAGAGATTCCACTTGTTCAATTACTAAGTTATCCTCATTTTCTTTTTCATGTATGTATTGACAACTAAAATGGTAGTTATTAACAACTAAAGATGCAATAATTAACAACTATCGTAGTAAGTATTAATAACACATTTTTTTAATGGACTCGGCATAAGCATATTTAACTTGAAATCCTTATAATACGTTAAGAAAATGTGTCGTTAATATATGCCACAATAGTTGTTAGTTGTTGTATTGTCAATGCATACTACTAGTGTTGAAAAAATGTATTGTTAATACCTGCTGTGATAGTTATCAATTGTTTCATATTAAGTTGTTAATAATTATGCTTTCAATTGTCACTGCATATTACTAAACAAACTTGATAGTTTTTAGGGGGGAGATAAGGGCAGTTTAGTAATTGAAAGTAGAATCTCTCACTATGAAGTCTCTTGAAACTCATTAATTTGATGATTTCAAGGATTTTATTTATTTATTTCTCTTGGATGGGTTCTCAATGTAATTCTCCCAAACTTTAGTCAGTGATAGATAATAGTAACCCATTTCATTTGGCATATTCTTACCCAAATAAAAATAATACTCCTCCGGTCCTAATTATAAGACCCAATTGACTTATTTGAGAAGATTAAGGAAGTAAGTTAAGTTGGTTATTTATAATAAATAAGTGTTGTCATTCCTAAAATATTCTTGCTAATTAAGTATATTGGCTAAAACTATCATTATTAGAAGGATTATCTTGGAAAAAAATGCATAAATATAAGAGACAAAATGGATTGGGTCTTATAATTAGGACCAAATAAAAAGTTAAATTAGGTCTTATAATAAGGACCGGAGGAGTATTAAATTGAAGGAACTCGATATATACGCTCAAAAATGAGGCTATATTGAAGCTTTTAACGTGGAATGTAAAGAGTAAAAGTCCAAATTCTTCTCTACCGTATGAACGGTAACTAAAAGCCCATGACTTTATGAGAAAACTGTCACCTAACTCGAAGAAAAAATATGGTCGAGGTTCAAAAAAATTGATATCTCTTAAACAAGACCCTTGGTTTAAATTTTGTGAGAGTGTGTTTAGATTAACACTAGTAAAAGTAACTGTTCTTTCAATTTACTTTTATAAACTGAAATTGATGTAAAAGTCAGTAAATATATGTGATTTATATTTTGATAGATTTTATATTTGACAAAAATTGAACATGTTTAGATGATATATTACAAAGCTAGTTTCAAAAGGGTTTAAATATTAAAAAAAAAAGTCAGATGCAAAAAATCAGAAATTAGAAAAAAAAAAATTCGACTTTTAAAGTGATCTTTGAACAAAAATTCAGTACTCTTTAAAATTATGCTAAACATCACTTTTTATCTAATTAGTTTTTTGGTTCAAATTGACCTCATTTGTAAACTCTACAAATGATATTTTATAATTAGGACCAGAGTTAGTGTATATTTATATGCTTTCTATTAGTCTTCAATAATATTTAAATATAAATTAGTTGTTAATTGTTACCAAATAATTATCAAGTAGTGATAAAAAAAATCATTTCAAATTGAAAATTTCTAAAATTGCAAACAGATTTTCACTTCAAAAGCATTAAATAATTGCATAATTTTGAATATAAAACATTTTTCAATCTAACGTATGCCTAGCAAATTGGGTGGGTTTTTGTTTCTCCATTTCCCACATAGGGATGCAGACTTATACATGTTTCACGCGCTTGCAATGATAAAGGCCAATTATCCGTCCAAAACTGGGTTACTTCTAAGCTGTGGCCAACGTTGCTGAACTGGCGGAGGTTCGGGTTTTGGTTCATCATATTATAAAGAAATAATTATTTTTCTTAAACTTAACTTCAATTGGTAAGTTGATTAAGGGGTATTTGAATAGAAACTAAATCATGATTTCAAAAGTACTTTTACAGTTTACAAAATAAATATGTGGAAGAGTTTGTCTCATTTTACAGAAAAGTACTTCTTAAAAGTACTTTTAAAAGTTGCCAAACACCCCCTTAAATCAGTGTATTGGAAATCTAGTTTTCTAATCTGTCTAATCAAGAATTGAGTAGATGGACTAAAAAAATATTGAATTATATGTATTGAGCTTGAAAAGAGTTAAAAATAATTATGTTAAATCTGTGTCTTGATACTATCAAAAAAAAATCTGTGTCTTGATAATTCTGTTTCGTTAGATTATGTGTGCTTTTTCTATGAATAAAGATTAATTTATTGAAGACTAGTTCACCAATATGCTAATCTAATTGGGCCACGGCCTGACAACTGAAGTCTAGGGAGATGGATTAATCTCTCATAATATGATAAACTAATATTTGAATTCCTGTTAAAAGAGATACTCACATTTAGTACCTAATAATATTTTGATCATAATTATCTCTAATAAAAAAATACATGTGTTTACAAAAAAAATTAATAAATATAAAATATAAAATATATGAAAATTTTATATCTAGAATCAAAATCAATTTTTTAAGTTCTTATACGTACCATGGGAAGGGGATAGATATTATACCTATTTTTTTGAAGCATTAGTGTACGGACACATCTCAATCCCCTATCCATATGCTCATGAAACACCTTTTGTTAGGCCACGACGCACTAATAATTCGACGGCATAATTGTTCAGTTTTATTATTGCAAGTCGGTGTACATGATTAAATTCTTTTTACAACGAAAAAGTACTAAGAAAATTCCTACATAAAAACTCAAAAGAAATTATTTATTAAATTTTTATCCGGAGAGAATAAGTCATCGGTGATCTTTTCAGCACTTCAGTTCGATTTTTTGGGAATAATTAGATTTTAACTTAATAAATTAGAAGTTTATATGTCTTTTGTGCATACTTGTTTTTGCTAAAACTTATTTTCTGACATTCTCTTTATATTTAATATTTTAAGGGTTAAAGTACAAATTTACTCAAAAAAAAATTTATTCAGGAGAGCTGATTACCTGGAAGTTTAAAATTATAGAAATATTACCTCCTACAGTTAAAATAATAATAATAATGTGGATTGTTGACATTTTTAATAATAAAGATAATATTATTATGATTTTAAATTGGGAAAATCCCAAAAAGGTTACTACTGAATTTCAAAATGCCAAATCAGGAATTACTACAAAAATGGGTTATCATTTGCTTTTTGAATGTAGTCATTTTTTTTATGAGTGTAGTAACGAGTACTGATTTGAAATTTTGAAATTTAGCTATCACTTTTTGGGATTTTCCCTTTTAAATTCTTATGTTAAATTTGCAGCAAAATTTTTTTTCAAGTGCCGAATACTGAAAACTTTTAAGATTAATTTACACTTTAACCCATATTTCTATTATCAAGAAAGATAAATTATTACTTCCTTCTTTCAGCATTATATGGTATTAATAAGTTGAACTGATCAAGACTGAATTCACTATTAACTTCTCGTCTAATTGCCAATCCAATCTAGCTCGGGTTGTTCTTATCCCAAAAACACTTCTAAAAGAAAATTTAAAAATACAACAAGTTGATTTTATTTATTAAAACAAATATAATTATTTCCATATAAAATATATTATTTGTAGATTGTTATGGGCATTTAATTTATGCATGTAATTTGGGTTATTATTTGTAATTTTTAGGGTATTTGATTCCAATTTTCATTTTTTGAATGAGTTAATAAATTGATTATCCATCATACATACATGCGTGTGTAACTTTAAGTGGTTAGGACTTGTGAGTTGTAACGTTTGAAAGAATTTGAAGAAGAAATAGGGATTGAAATGGCTCGTAAAAAAAAAAGATTTAAATGAAAAGAAATTTTTTATTATACAATCAAGCTCAAGCTATTGGATTTTATAAGAAATTTTCTAAAATTTTTATGATTACGAGTATTACCTCCAACCCTAAATATTAGTTCCGCTTCTTAGTATAAAACCCAATTGATTAATTTAAGACTTAAATAAATTATTATAAAGTATTATATTTATTGTTTTTTCCAAACTAATTTGCTCAGCTTATAAATTGGTGTAATCTAATGATATATATAAATATCTTGAAGAGATCATATAACATATATTATAATTAAATAATCTTTTTAAGATTTTTAATTTTCTCAATTTAGTTAACTTGATTTTATATTAAAAATCAGAGACAGCATAAGATCTGATACTAGTTGAAAATTTCTTTCTTTCTTTTTTTTGACTAGGTACATGTATCCTTCCGTTGAAGATAATCATATTCAAGATATTGTTGTAAGAAGTTAGCGTACTCTGCTACATTTAATCCTTATTGGTTGAAATTTTCTTTTTTCAATAATGTACTTTATGCCGTTTATATTGAAGAAAACAAAACAAGCCCAATCCAAGTCAAACATCCCTCATCAGCATCCCTCAACAGACAGCGCTAATTAAGGACACAA